TTTTAGGTGTGTGTTCTTATCATCAAGGGCCACCTAAAACCATTATAAAAAAAATTATTGGTGAAAAGTAAAATAATCAAAATACCCCCCAAAATGTTTACAGGGTATTTTGATCAATTTATTTCATGTAAATCTTTTTTTTGATATTTTTCAAAAATTCACCTATTTTTGATAAACACACACCTAAAATTTCAAGTAATTTGGATTTAAAAAACTTGAAATCTTTTAAAATTCAAACACTACCGGACATCCGTGATCGTCAGATCGGCCCAGATTCAATATGAGACGTTGGGCTCATTTGTTCATATGAGCTAGTGGGCTAATCCTATATATATATATATATATATATTTTGAGTTTAAGAGAGGAGTGGACGACCAAAATTTGGTGTCAAAATAGTTTTTTTTAAATAAAATAAAATGGTGTAGAGATGTGATATTGTGATTGGGGCCATCTCAACAGTCCATTCTGAATGAACGATTAGATAAGGGAAAATGTTTTATGCTGTAGGGGAAATATAGAAAGATTGTCTACCAAGGGCCTTGGGCTTTGAGCTGGTTTTGGGCTAATTTCAGGCTTGGGCCTGAAACCCAAAACTCGGCATCCAAGCTTAAAAAATAGTGTAGATCGAGCATATCTATGAACAATTGAAAATTTTGAAAATTGACGGTTCAAAAAATCATTATAAGATGCACTATTTTTAAGACTTGAAACTTATTTTTTCTCTTGTTCATACATCTTGAAGTCGAAATAATCGATTTGAGGATTTTTCAGCGCCGAAACAACCTCTTTTCATGAATTTTTGCGGTGTGCCTTAATTTGAGTGTTTAGAGCCTCGCCTATATATATATATATATTATTAATCTATTTGTGTTATTTTTAATATAATATATATTTTTATAATATATATAAATAGAAAATATATAAATATATTTTATCATATGAATTTATCTTTAATTTATAAATAATAGTCCAATAATATTTAATATACAATATTTAAATAAATAAATTTTTTATAATATTTAAATAATACATGTATATAATTATATATTTACAAAATATATTTAAATACCAAACATATGAAATTCATTGCATATTGCTTTTAAAACGTATTAAGAAATATAGAGAAAATAAAATTTACAAAAGCTTTCTTATGAAACATTTACATATGTAAATATTTTTCTAGAGAAATATTTCTCCATGAAAATATTTACACACCAACCGAACGTGCCTTAAGGGAGTTGTCACCATCACTAAGCCAACTCCCAACTCCCTTGAAGTGGATGTTGAGGAGGTTAACTTAGGGATGTCATTTTAAACCAAACTAACTAATGGCAAATATTTTTGAAAAAGAGATAGGAAACCTCTCCAAGTCTCTTTAGTAATTGAGAAACCCCTTTAAGTTTAGGATGATCAATCAATAAATGGCACCGCTCCGCATCACTTTTATACATAAAATATTGATTTGGGATGAACTCTAGATAAGATAATCATCAAGTAAGTCACTTGTCTACTAGGTGCATAAAACCTGCCATGGAGGTCCAACACCTAGATATGACTGTCAGAAATTTAGATGGCCTATGTTCAAAAATCAAAATATGAGGACTATATTTTTTTTAAATGACAAAGCTTAAAAAGGCATATTTCTTAGGATGCTCACCGGCATGAGGACTTTAACATATAGATTACCTTCAATTAAAAAAAAAATCCTAATTACACCCTCTATGCACTTGAAAAAAATAATGTTTTTAGATTGAATAGAAATTATCCAATTTTTAAAGGGTGAGATCTAGAAAACTCAAATTTCAATTTTTTTTTTTTTGAAGAATCATATAGTGACGAAGGTGGTGTTATAAAAAAGATATGGTTTCTATGAGTCTATGTAGAAATGAGTCCCTTCTTAAAAATCTATTATTAAGATAGATTTTTGGACTTAATTTTTAAGGACATGTAATCTCTAACATGATCATGAATATGAAAAATAAATGAAATTTAAAAATTAGAAACAATAATTCTATTAAAAAAATATTTGGACCGTTAATTACCCAAAAAAAATAAAATTGGACAGCTAGTTTCAATTGTTTTTAGATAAAACACCTATTTACAACCATCTTTAAGGATGCTTTATACCCTTTGGAATCGCATATTGTAGAAATCCTGTCCAGCTCCGCATGAAACATTGTCTTCGGCCAAATTTAGATTGAAAAAGTCCTTCCAAGCAGATTGTATGAACGAGGGAGTATACCTCACGGAGCACAGTAAACGTGCTCTTTAAGTTTTTTTGGTTTTTAATCTTAATAATTGTGGTGGGAATATTGGATATGGTCAGGAATAATGGATATAGTCCCAGTGGAGCACAGAAATTTTGGGTATGCTCCCGGGGGAGCATACTGTCTTTTGACCATATGGGAAAATGAGGAAAGTTCCTTTAAGCAAAAGAAGGAACAAAGTTCCAGTTTCAGAACAAAGTCCCTTTGGTTGAAGGTGCCCTCTGTGCTTTTCTTTTCTTTTTGTAATTTTTTCAGCCATTAAGTCTTGGAGGCCTCGAAGCTTGAGTGCTATCTTTCTTCTTCCCTAATTTTTTGGGCCATCGAGGCTTGGAGGCCTCGAAACTCAGTGCCATCTCTCTTCTTCCCTGTTTGATTGTGGAATAGTGTTTTCTCTGGCTAGAAGAGAAGAGAGAAGAATGATGACCGACTCGAAAGTGGAGACGATATCGAGGCTGGCTCAATGGAAGATTGAGACATGGGGGCCATGCTCTTACAGAAGGTCTGATCCTTTCAAAGTCGGCCTCTGGAACTGGTTCGTGCCCTCAGTATCTTATATGTTCAATCCATTTACAATTGCTGTTTTCTGTATTACTCTGTCTTGTTGATTTTCTTGCTATTACTCTCTCGTTGGTTTTCTTTATATTACTATGTTCCTCTCCCCCCTCTACCTGTTGTTGGTTTTCTTACTGTTAGTTTGTCTGTCTCTCTATCTATCTCTCTTCGGTTTCTGGTTGTTACGATCATTCTCTTCGTCGATGTTGGCTTTATTATTATCCTTCTCAATTATCCCCTCTCGTTATGCATGCCTATCTCTCTTTTTTGTTCCTTGCTATCTCCTGTGTGTGCATGTGCACGGGCGCGTTGTGTGCGTGCAGTCGTGCATGCATTGTGCGTGTGTCGTGGTTTTCTTGTTTAGACATTTTTTGGTGGTTCTATATTTATATAGGCACTTATCAATTGAGAAGAGCCGATATCTCTACATCCGCCTTTTTCCAGAGCCCAGTCGAGTGGTAAAGGAGCAGCCTCCATTTGTAAAGTTCGTTATCCGCATTTCAAATATTGGTGCTAGTCGCCGGCCTTACATATCACCTGGTACACAATAAATTATTCTTGTTCACAGTTTATCTTTATTTTTTGGAAAAGATTGCACAAAGACCATTTATTTTTACAAGGAGGTCACAATCACCCTTGTCTGTCATATTTTAAATTGGGTGGTTTTAGATGTGTCATTAACTAGACTCAAAGATTAAAAAGGAAAAAATTCTCAAACTTGGAGACACACCACAAGCCTAATGGCTAGTAGTGATTGTGACCTCCTTGTAACAATGGTAAATGGTCTCATAGTATACAATCCTTTAATTTTTGGCCTTTTCTTGCTTCTTGCTTTACGATTCATCTCATTTCCTCTTTAAAAGGTCTTAATTGCAATAATACTTAAGCATTTTTTATTAAGTTTTTTCCCCATTTCTTTGATAACAACTGCCAATTATGGATCGGCCTTCTCTAATTTACTGGTTTATTGAGAGTTATGAAATAGTCATGCTTCTTTAATGTGGTTTCTTATTGCTCATAATTAGTGTTCCCTAATTTCTGGTTTGTTATGCATACTAAGTGCGTAATATGATCATCTGAACCATAGCTCCTAGTTTGAATTCTTCTCGCAATGAAGAAACCTAATAAAACTTGTTAGTATGCCTCTTTAAGCCCTTGTGTTCACTAATGTACAATATTCCGTTGTGAATGTGAATACCTTAAAAAATGATATTGGAACTTGTTAGTTAAACCGATGCAAGCTGTTCATTTTGTATGTAAAATAATTTTGTTGTCTTTTGTAATACCCATATTGTTGTTCATGAGTATATGAGCAGGAAAATTTCTTTTTGATATTATTATGCAATGTCCCACAATATTATCTGTAAGGGCTTCAATTCTTGTTGCAAATTCTACATCCAAATATCTATTTGATTAGAAAAACAAACAATCTAAAAAAACTTGATTTTGGGTTCTTGAAGACCTGGATCAGCTGTTCATCAAATGGACAGCTCGTGTTCGTCAAAAATGGCAGATTCATTTGAACCTTTATTATGCAAAGTCTTTTTTCTTTCCTGCTTGCCTAGGTATGAGATGAGCATTTGTGCTAAATTTGGGGTCTAACAAACCCCTCCAGCTCCAATGGGCTTATGCTATATTACAAGCCAATTGGCTTATAGGATTTTCTTTCATACACACATGCATGCAAGCACAAATATATCTCTATGTGTGTGCGTGCGCGTACCCGCGCACGTGCCCGTGCGCATGTGCACATGTGCATGTGCACATGTGCATGTGAGTTTGTGTGAATATTTTGTTAGCTTGTAGGCTGATGGAATGGTATGAGCCCAATGGTCCAAAATAAACTACCAAGGCCGATATGTATGGCCAGCATTCACCGATAAGGGGGTGTTTTGTTTTTCTCTTTTGCATTTTTTTTGGTGTGCCTAGGTTAGGTGCAATTTCAGCAAAAATTTGAGGTTTATCACATTTATAGAAAAAAAAAAACAAGTAAAAATCAAATAGGGAGCAACTATGCTAGCTGTTAAATTGAATTTGGGCCATTGGGCTTACACTGTTTTATCAGGCTACATGCTAACATATAGTATATATGAAGGTTTGAATCTTTTTATGTAATGATCTTCCACTGGTTACTGTTGCATAGAATTCATTGAACAAGATCTTATTGGATTATATCCCTAGGCTAAATAAGCACATAGTTAATTGTAATTAGTCTTCACAGTTATATCCATTAGTGTTGATGTGAGAAGGTTATGAATAGCTATGCCTCAATTATCAAAAAGAAAACAAGGTGTTCCTTGTTTTAGCTATTGTTATTATTTGGCAATTTCTTACAATGTGCCTACACGCCTTACTTGTCTATTCAGTTTAGTCTTGTTTTGGACATGAACTTTCTGATTGGATTGCTAATATCCCTTGAGTTTAATTAGTATGGCACTTGTTGGCCACTGTCACGGAAGATGCGTCTTGAAAGATCTAGGATGAGTAGGTATCTTTCAAGTATATGCACATACAAGATGGGTACTTTTAGGATTATGAATGTGGTGTCTCGTAGAATCTTTGTTTAATATAGATATACTATAGGATGCAGCTACTGGGTTACAAACTCTGTTGGCATCGAAGCTTTGCTCATTGATTTGTTGGGTATTCTAGGCAACGGAAATAAAACGGTTGCCTAAGGAGGTCTTGGAGGCAGCTTTGGACAGATTGCTAACCACTGTGGCTCTTGCATGATAATCACAAAATATAGATCCAAAATATTCACATTGGCACATTATATCCTGAATCTTGTGAAAGATATAATGCATGTAAAAGATATTATCATTAGAAATGAAGAAAGATGTTACTCGTGGACAGTTGTTGCTCATAAATGGATGTGTATACCTAATATCTTCATGAATAATGTAAATTGAGAAAGCTATGCAACTGAGCTATTTTATCAATGGAATAACATGAGAGACAAGGGCAATCATTTCAAGTATGACTTTCAAGTCCATGAAGATATCATGTTGGAACACATTACTGGTTTTCATGATTTTCCTAGTTGTTCTTATGAACTATTCAGTTGAGTACTGGTTTCTGATATGACATATATGTGATGAAGTTCTATGTTTGTCCTTGGGAATTTGGGTTGGTCATAT